GGGAAAAACTCCTTTGCAGTCCTGGTCGTAACAGCTGGAATTTGCTCTGTTATTTCTGCTAACTGCATGGCAGATTTGCAGCACTGCAGCTGCTTTTTGATAGTCCAGCAATCATTTTCCTTGGGGCTGCCTGCATTTGCTCTCTTAATTTGATTTGGAAACACTGGAGCGTAAGGAAGCAGAGGGGGAGCCTGGTTGCTGCTTGCTGGAAGCAGGGGATCAGACCATGCTGTGGCCATGTGGTGCACAGCCAAGGAAATGCACAGGCAGGTTTTTATGCCCTTAAGCTAAAGGCTGTTATCTCTGGTTACCAAAGGGACATCCCTATGGCGAAACCAAGGCTGGAGCCTCCAGCTGGGTGAACAGCAAGTCTCAGAGAGACCTGGGGAAGAGGCGATAGATTGAGCCTTGGGGCTCATCTGTGGGGATGGAGAGTTGCTTGGGTGGGAGCGGGATGGGAGGAGGCACAAGAAGGAAAGGGGCAGCTCTGTTCCCTGCCACCTCCTAGCCTGGAGGGAATCTGGGTCTCTGCAGTTAGCTGCCTCATCATCTTTTCTCCTTCAACCTTTTGCTCAAGAGAGATTAATCAATAAGTAAAACAGATGGCAGCTCTTTCAGCAGCACTGCGGGAAGGCATCATGCTGGTGCTTGCTCCTGTGGAAGAGCAGGCAGCAGCAGAGCCACATGACGGCAGAAGGGAACTATAAGGGTGAATGAGCCTTGGCAGCACATAAAGTAACAGAGCTGGAAGGCGAAGAGCATCCTACACTGAAAATTACCACCCTGTTTCTGCACAGAACATCAGTGAGAGTCTTTTAAAAGCAGGAGACTGGGAGGTAAAACCAGCTAGATAAGGATAATTATTTCTCTTTCCTTTTTTCCTACATCATTGATATGGCATTAAATTTACATGTAACTTGAGCTTAGAGAAACCACAAAATTTGATACAGGTTTTTACTCTCATCAAGTCAAAAGACGTAGGACCATGTAGGCTTCTGCTAAGAACAAGGCTGCAGGGAGGCTGTCCCTGACGATGGATAGGAAGACTGATTAGATCATAACAAAACACTTCTGCAACTGGGTGCCAACAGTAAGGGGGAAACACACTCCCATGTGCTGCTGCTCCTGCTTTAACAGACAGATGTGAAGCCAGAAAAAAAAAATATCAGAAATAACACTTTTCTTTGTACAGGAGACAGATGACTCCAGCACAGCTCAGGATGGGGCTGATGTTCTCGACATCTGCATCATTAGACTGGGGCCGAAGGCCAGCAGTGTAAGTCCAGTTCTTTCTGAGAATGAATATTTTGTGATTTCAACCTGCAGTCATTGCAAAATGCCTTTCAACCACTCTTGGTACTGTGTTGCGTCTTCCCCCAAATCAACCTGGAAACATAGGACCAGAAAAGCAAATTCTGATTGAAGTGGAGATGCTGCTCCAAAGTGGCATCTAAAGCACTTCATGTGCCTTAAAACCCCCTCATTTCCAACTCCAGTACTTGCGCTAATAAAAGATACAGACTTCTCTGAGTCCTCACCCTGTAAAGCTGCTGGCAAAATGAAACCACACAATCGGTTTAAGTGGAAACTAATGCAGAGAAACTGTGTAAACAGAATAAATGTCTAAAGCATGAGTTCACCTGCAGGAGGAGGCAATGTGAGGAAGGACAAGGCGTTACAGCTAGAAGCATGGATGTGGGTCCATGAGTCCTGTTGGTAATGGTTGTGCAACCCCACTAGCAGAATTACTAGCATCACCCCAAAGCACCGTGTTGTTTGCTTCACTCTTCTCCTAAAAGTGCACTTAGGAAGCTCTAAGTTTTGAGAGTTGAAAATTGTTATGTTTCCAGTCCAAACGTTGAACCAGCCAGCATCCTCCCGGTGGAAGGAGTGTGATTTCTGCTAGCAATACCAGGAAGACAGTGCTGTGGCAACAAGGAAATCAATCTCGTTTCTAGTATTGCTCTGTTCCCATGGTAATGTCACTGTAACATATCAAATTTTAGTTCCCAGGACCCAGGACTGTAGATAAAGGAATATTACATTAATATGTCATTCTTAAGAGAAAGAATGGAACAAAGCCTGGAAAACCAGTGAAATATAAAGAAAAACATTGAGGTTCCTAGGAAGTACACTGGGAAGACAGAGTTGTTGAGACTGTGGTTCCTAAACTTATAATCAGTGATCTGATCCCACAGCCAGAAGGCAGCAAAAGTGAAATAATCTCCTATTAATAATAAATCACCTTAGCAAGAAAGCCTCAAATAAGCTGAAGTTCAGAACAGATTTGCTTTGTGTATAATCAATGACTCAAATAACATCTCACTTTCCTGATCTCTCCAGGCTCCTGTGGAAGGAATAGCAATCCTACATCAATTCCCATTTTCTTCTGGACTGCAGAGGATGTCTGTTGTTTTGCAGAAGATCGGAGAGGAACAGTATGACCTGTACATGAAAGGAGCACCAGAAATGGTGTCCAGCTTTTGTAGACAAGAAACTGGTATAGAATTGGGAAAGGGCAGCTTTACACTGTTTATCTGGACTTAATCTAAACCAGAGTTTACATTGGGGCTCTAATCCTAAAAGGTTTTCAGTGCTCACTCTTCCCACTGGCCACACTGCAACTGCATGTGTGTGACTCTTCCCACAAGCAAGCCTTGGGCTTGTTAAGTGTCATTAGTTAATACCACAAACAAGTTTTCATTGCTTGTTTGTAAGTTAAAGATGCACACAGCCCAACAGCTAGTGAGATGCACAGCCTGAGGTTCAGCCCCTATACATCCCTTAGCTGACTTGCATCAGCTGAAGATATAGCGAATAAAAATGTTGATATATCAGGATACCCAGAGCTGACGTAGGATCATGCTAATTGCATGTGTCACAACAAGTGTCTTGTACTATACAAGTTCTTAAATTTCCTGCTAATTTATTGCCCTGTAAGTTCAGCTTTGAGTTACTGACCCAACTTGCAAAGGCTTTAAATCTCAACGATGGGAAAATTGCTGTGGACATGCAAATTACTGTTATTAAGAGTAATTGGTATTAACACTCAAGCCAAGACTTCTGTCCTCTCTCTGGAATTAAACATAGGCTTTTCTTTTTTGTATGTGAACAATATTATAGGCTTATACTCAGATTTGTCTGCAAACTTGAAAGTCGGGTCACGTTCACTGAATACTTCAAAAGGATGCCAAGCAAACACAGTACCAATGGTTTGTGGCTCTGTGGTTTGTTCTTTCAGATGGCACTGACCTGAAAACAGGTGAAAACAGTTTTGAGGGACAATGGAAAGATATAGTTTAGAACAACCTAAGATCTAATGACACAAACCTCCAAACAAGACAACATCAGCAATAAAAATGTCTTCAAAATTATGTTCCACTTTCACAGGTTTCTAAATAGCTCCTCTTATCCTGTCTTGATTGTTTCCATATTGATTTCAGGTTAATGAATAATTGGGTACTGCACTGTAAAGCTGTGATTGCAGTATGTAGTGAGTACAGAATACTGCAAAGTTAACAGGAACTCTTTGCTTTTAGAGCCACAGGAACCAGAGAATTGAAAATTTAGGATTTGGGATAATTCTCACAATAAGGCATAAACATAAAAACAATTTCCTCGGTCACTCAGCGTGTATGCAGTAAAGCTTAGGACAGAATTACGAAGTCAGTCATTTGTCCTCTGCCCAGTAATTCATATTACCTACCTGCACCTTAACATGCATTTAAAAAATATAAAACAGATGCATAGATCACTTATTTGAACAGTTAGTTACACAGCCTCAGTACAGAACAGCTGACTTCTATGAGAGGCCACAGTGTTGTAACTACGGCTATAAAGTGGTTTAAAGGACAGGCATTTAACCCTAGAAAAAACAATCAGCAACTATGGAATATTCTAAGCATGAAACTTTTTTTTCCTGTAAACAGTCCCAGCTAATTTCTTAAGGGAGCTTAAGATGTACACAAGCCAAGGCTTCAGAGCCATTGTCCTGGCCCATAAAGTGCTAAACCTAGGAAAGGATGTAGATGTGAGCAACACAGAGAGGTAAGGTGTGCTGATGAGCCGCTGGTATTGCTGTGGGGTTGCTTTCCTATCTACTTGCTACATCCTGCCCCAAACCATTCTGCCCTGCCCCAAACCTTCCCCTCTTCGCCTGCCAAAGGAAGCCTCTTGGGAAGCTGTACCATGTAACACCTTCCTTTCAGCAGGTGCTGATGATGCTGTTAAGTGCCTGCTTTACAGTGAGCTCTCGCAAGGCTCACTGAGCTGAATTTCAGAATCTGTTATCAAAGGGTAATGAAAGCTGGCTATTGTGCTTCTGTATGGCAACAGATTGGGACTGCGACAGAAATTCTGTATGCCTTAATCTGTGGGTTTCAGCCATTCCTGCAAATCCCTGTCCCTCTCTCTGCACATGCATCTCTGCTGCATTTCTCCTTCCTAGAGACAGCAGTGTAGTGGATCAGCAGTTTGGCTGAAGCTGCAGAAATGTTGGTGCTTGTTGAGCACTGCTTGTCTTGAACTCATAGCAGTTGTGTTTCCCTGTGGAGCAAGCATGTTTCCCACTGAGCACGGCTTTCCTGTTGAACAAAAACGGAGAGAATTGCTCTCTGTCCCATCCATGGGAAACAGCACGTGTGTTTCTGTCCTTGCTCCAAGAGAGGAGGCAGAGTCTGGGCTGGTGTTCCTGGGCCTCCTGGTGATGGAGAACTGCCTGAAGCAGGAGATGAAGCCCAAGCTACAAGACCTGGCTGCCACTTGCATCAGGAGCATCATGGTCACAGGTAAATCCTCCCAGGCTCCTCCTGTGGCCGTGCTGGCTGATGTGGGGCACACAGGAGAGATTCGCTCCTCCAGCATCCTCCATTGCACATCCATGGTGCTGCCACTGTGCTATGGCAGATGTGAGGAGCCTGCCTCTCCACTATCCTTGCAGGGAAAAACCTGCAGACAGCTATCGTGGTGGCCAGGAACGTGGGTATGGTTCACACGGGCGGCAAAGTCATCCTCATCGAAGCAAACGAACCGGAGGGCTCCACTCCAGCTGCCATTGCCTGGTGACTGGCAGAAGACAGCAAAGCAAACACAGCTGCTCCCCATGTAAGCACAGACAGGGATGGTTGCTTTCAGGTGCCAGGGGGAATTAACAAAGCTTTTAATGTCTAATTAATGTTTAATGTCCAGGCTCCTTAGGCCTGGACTCTTTGCTAAGGATTTGGAAGTAGCCCTGAGGAACAGAGGAAACCGGGGGGCTAGTTTGTACCTGCTCCAGGGTATAGGGAGGTGTGGTGTGGACCATGAACCTATTAGGGAGAAATAATTAATACAGTGGCTCTTTGCTGAGGACAACATGCAAAATAACTACATGAATAACTGGCAAGGCTCTGCAGATGCAGTGGCCACTTCAGTCACACTTGAAGTGTGCAGAATTGTGCGTTGCACAGCAGGGGCATCAGGAATATGAAATACCCATATCTAGCAACAAAAATCTTCAATTCCTGTCCTCCAGTCCATAAAATAGCCGGTGCTGGGACAGATTTTCAGATTTTGTACTCTCTGGCCAGATTTTCCGGTAGGAGAAACCTCGGGCCAAGCAGTGTTATTGCTGCTGTCATCAACCATCTGTTCTGTGCTTGGGAAGCACTTATAACGCCTTGCTGCTCTAAAGGCTGCTGCAGAGCACGTGGTGATCGCTGGCTTCCCAGAACCTCCTACAGAGCAGGCAAGGCAGAAAACAGAGCAGGATAAATCTGTTAGAGGAAACCTGAACCCTAAGGGTAGCAAAACCATGGTAGGGTTTGGGAGACAGGATTAGAGGGTTTTACAAGTGTCAGGCACCCATCAGGGAGGCCTGATCCTGTCTTGGTGGAGTGATGGAGGCACAAATGCTTGACCAAGGCAGCCTGTTGCTCTTTCTTGCAGATACTGGTCAATGTGACTGTCTTTGCTAGGATGTCTCCTGGCTAGAAGTCCAGCCTTGTTGAAGCGCTTCAGAAACTCAAGTAAGGTTCTCTTTTGTTTTCTTCTTGACCCAAACCAATACCATGTTTTCTTTGAAGTGTGATCGTCCCAGCTAGCGCTGCTCCAGGCCCATCTTTCCAACCCTCCCTTCCTCCGCACGTGACCCCTGTTCACATCCTTTGTGGCCGCCTTCCTCCCAGTTCCCCTACAGGGATCCCTCTGCATCAGGAGTACCTGCACCCCTTGCCCACACTTAGCCACTGCTTCTCGCTGGTGCCATACAGAAGGCAGCATTAAATGAGGCTGAGATAAAAATACAGAGGCAGACCCCCACGTATACAAATAGCCCCCACTCTCAGAGCTCCCGCGTGGCTGCTGGTGCTGTCCTGGCTGCAGCTTTAGCAAAGGTGAAAACAGCCTGATGCAGTGGGGAGTTTGACCCGAAAGATGCTCCTTCAGGTCCCCCAAAGGAATGTTTCCTCCCCCAAACAAGGCTCACACTGACTATGGATATTGCTTGCTAAGCGTAAACAAGATGTGATACCTTTCTGAAAAAGCAAGTTAATTATTGGTTATGAGGTGCTTCCTTTGGGGATGAAGTTCCCTGCCCTCTCAGAGGGACCTCACGTGTGGTGGTTTGGGAGCTGCTGTATTATTTCAGCAGTTCCTGTGTCTTTGGGTCTACAAAGACAGTTGAGGAGAAAATACTGGTAAAAACCAAGCTGCAGCTGCAGGAGCTGCTGCAAACCCTGCTCCCTTTCCATGGCCCTGGTACCAAGGGGAGAACACTGTGTGGAATACAGTGGCAGTGTTCCCTTTCTCATTACAGCCTCTTTCAAAACTTAATCCTAATTTTGCTCTGTGCGCTCTGCCCCAGCCACTCCCCGTATACCACTTGTCCTCTGGAAATGGCCACTGCCTTCTCCAGGGCCAACATGAGGCCCCTGCTCTGATGTACCCGCAAGCCAGCGGGTGCTCCACCGCGGGATCGAACAGCTACGTGCAAGGCTTATGTGTTTTCTTTCTTCTTCCTCCATCAGTTACTATGTGGGTATGTGTGGTGATGGCGCCAACGACTGCGGGGTACGTAGGAGCACATCTCCTGTTCTTGTTAAATTTCATCTCTTTCAAGCTAAGGAGTGCTGTGATAAGAGGCTGCCCAACGCCACTTGTCACTAGTGCTTCCCAAGTTAGCCCATGGGTACGCTTGGTCAGCGTGGCACTGTACAATGCTATCTACACGCTTTTTTTTTTTATACTAACATACATGACAATAGAGGATTACAGTTTTGATATTTCTCCCCCCAGAAACGGAGGAAAGGGAATTTTTCCTACACATTTGTTCAAATTTGTAAATTTGAGGGTCTTAGCCATAAAAATAATTATTATTTATTATATTATTATAATAAATGTTATCATAATATAATTTTATAATAACTCATTAGCTTGCTTTGTAAAAGTTGTCCATAGCCTATACCTGACCACTACACTAGAGGTGACAAGGCCAGGTGCCAGGGAGCTCATAAGACAGCAGTAAAAGAAATATGAACAGGAGATTGAAAGGAATAGAAAGAGGATAAAATGGTAATTTAACTGCTTTAGGAGACTGTTTAACAGGAGAGGCATGCACAAACTCTGGTGTGGGAACCAGCATACAAGGTAGTTCAAAGGATTGTAAATAGGTATAATGGGATTAAATGAACAAAAGAAATATTTAAGCTCCAGGGATGGGAAGATATCTATAAAATGAGATCAGCTGGGCCACAGAATAGAGAAAGATCAATTACAAAAGACACTTGAAGCAAAACTTGTAAAGCACCAGTAAACATACTGTGCAGGGTGGGAGGGGTGGATGGATGTCTCTCTGTCTTCTTACTCCTGTGGATTTCAGGCTTTGAAAACGGCCCATGCAGGGATATCACTGTCAGAGCAGGAGGCATCTGTGGCCTCGCCTTTCACCTCCCAAATCCACAACATGCAGTGCGTGCCGGAGCTGATCAGGTGGGTCTGCTGGGTGCTGCCCTGGTGCAGCCTCAGGGTGCTGCTGCCTGCTCCGAGGTCAGCATGTGGGGTTGCGAGTGGGCGCGCAACGACCCTCAAAGATGCTGTTCAACCAAACCTAATTCCTCAGTTACTATATAAAATACAGCAGAAGGGTTTTTAAATTGTTTTTGATCCTCAAATGCCAGTGCTGAGAGTTTTTTTTGTGGTTTTAGGAGAGCATTGCCCATGGTGGCTGATATTTTTGGAACAGGTACAGCAGGAGTCACGTGAAAGGGCAGGTATAACAGTGACCACAGAATAGATTTGTTTGTTATTACTTTAAAATATTGATATCTATATGGTGCACACAGCCATGGAGCAGCCAGTAATAATGCCATTTAACCAAATGTATGCAAAGACAATTACCTGTTTGTGTAGAAATGTGCTTGATTCCCAGAACTGTTGAGCAAATTAGTAATGAAAAAGCACTAGCAGCTTAATCCAGGTATTAAAATTGTGGCTGCAGAATAAAAACACAGAAACAAAACACTGCAGATGAAGGGTAGTTAAGTGGCTCTGCAGTATCTTAAGGCCAAAATATTTGTATATGGAATTTGAACTGTTTTCTATTCTTCTTAGAGATCCTAAACAAAAGGAGTTACCCTCCTTAGAAGCAGAAACCATCTGTAGCACTAAAACCACAGTACGGCAGCTGTAAGTGGGGTTTTTAGCTTTGTTTTGTGTTTTGAGCAGGGAAGGTCGAGCTGCTTTGGTTGGTTCCTTCACTGTGGTTAAATACCTGACCCTTTACGGCCTGATACAGTTTGTTGGTACTGCTCTGCTGTTTTGGGTAAGTGTTTTGTGCCCATCTTTTGTCAGTACGCTGTGCTCACTGTAGGTTTTTATCTTTAGTGGTATTACTCGGCAGGGAAGAAAAGGCATACAGGGCTTCAAGGAATAACAAAGATGTGAAAAGCTGGATAATTACCGGCAGGGGGTAGATTGGTTGTAGGGACCCCCAGAGTCATGGACAAAGCCCAGTGATAAAAGTTTACCTCTTCCAAAAGAAGAAAGGGCAATAGCAGGGGGGTGAGTCCTGCCTAGCTGGGTGGTGGATGTCCAGGAGCAGGACTTGCTGTAAAATGGAGGCTTTGGGAGAGCAGCTGCCTCTCTCAGCTTGAAAAAGAAGTGAGTGTATCAGGCAGATGAAGGAGGGTAGTTAAGGAAGAATTACCATTGTGTATCATCACCAGTATGTGATGAATCCTCTAAAATTTTAATCCATGAAAAGGAAAACAGCGAAGGAAATTCATGTATGGGTTTACTCTGGGCACCTCTCTTGGCTCACTTCATGCACGTCTTCTGTGCACAGTCTGCAGAGAGTGATGGCCAGAAAGCACAGTGAGCTGCTGCGAAGCTGCAAGGTACAGCCGAGGCTTGGTGGCAAACAGGGAGTGCTGGTGGGTCACCCCATGGGGACAGCTTCCCCAGCCACTACTTTTGGCACGCCAACTTTGTCCATGTCCCCACTACCTAAAGACATTTCAAAACTGGCACAAAGTGAAACTCTGGCTGTCATTGCTGTTGCTGTGGGCTGGGAGTGTGTGACCTGATCTGGGGGGTCCAGAGGCGCTGGTATCTGGTGGGAAAATATTCAAATGCCACTGGGTTGCGCACAAGTGCTATGAATTAGCAAGGGGTTCAGTGGGACACAGCTGACAGCCTACAAGCTGGGCTTGCTAGTCTTCATGGGGGTGCATCAGGGCCATGAGGCTGCTGTTGCTGGTGTGATATTGCTTATTAGGGTCTGGCTTTGCAGCATTTACCAGTGATGAGCGGATGGGGTTCTGTGTGTGTGGCTCTGCTTGCCCAGCAAACACAGAGGGATGCTGGTGGTTTGAGCTGCCATGGACTGCAAATGTCTCCGGTTTCTCTCTAGTGAGCTTGACTGAAGCCTATCCAAATCTGGCGCCTTATCGCCCTCCTGGCCAGCTCATCTCTCCTCCCTTGCTGCTCTCCATCATCCTCAATGTGTGCTTTACCATAATCATGCAAACCTGTGGCTTCCTTCTGGTGAAGCAGCAGCCCTGGTATGTAGCGCTGGCCAGCCAAAGGCAAGTCCCTCTTTTTGTCTCTGATCCCCAGCTTGCGGATCATGTTGCTGCTGTGTGCAGGGGACGCTTCAGTCTCCCTCCATATTCCAGAGCTGAATTGTATTATATATTATATATATAATATTCTATAATATATTATAATATATTATTATATATATATTAATGACCAGCATATCATCACGCAGAAATGAACCGGTAGGGCAGGAGGCCCAGTGAGGCGTTTCAATGGGGATGCTCCCAGATGCCAGGGCTCCGCTGGGGCCGTTTCCCTGCGACTGCATGGATGCATCACAGGGCGAGTGTGCTGGAGTGGTGTGCAGGCAGCTGGGGCACGCATCTTCATAGCCATGTCTCTTGAACACTGCTATTGTTGCCCACTTGAGAGCCAAGATTTTGGCACAAACCAGAAAATTAAGCTGAGTTTTTTGGGGATTTGTGGTTTTTTTGTTTTAAAACGTGTGGTTTTCATTCCTGTGGGCCATATCTGGTTATAGTAGGCTGAGTTGGGAAGAAAAGCAAATTGCTGTTTGCAGCTCACTGTTGCTGGAGAGAGCAGAAATAAAATGCTGGGTGTTACCTTACAGACATTGCTCTCCAGGGAACCAGACCGTGTCCCCCACCAGCCCAGGAGGAAACGGTACCAGCAGCGGTGCCCAGAGCACTGTCCTCGGTTATGAAGACACTACGCTGTGGCCACTGTCTTCTATCAATCAACTGCATCATGGTGGCCTTTGTCTTTTCCAAGGGAAAGCCCTTCTGGAAGCCCATCTACACCAACTGTGAGTAGAGCTGGAGTAACATGTGCTCCACAGACTCTCCTTCCTGCCCCAAAATAACCCTGGCAGGAGAGGCTGCTAGGGAAGGGATGCTGTGGATTTTTCTGTACCCACACCAGTGACTGGCATGTAAAATAATTGTTGGTGTATGTGAGCTCCTACTTCTCTCTAAAAAAGCTCCGTGAGCACTGCTTATGTTAGCTTCTTCCTGGAAATAAGAAGCACCAGAGCTGGGAAAGGAGACTGCATCTTATTTTGGAAAATGTGTGCTTTCCAGGGGATGATGGGCTGGATTTAGAGCAGAACTGTGTATTATTGTGAACACAGAGAGCATATGAGGATCAGATGTATTTATTTCAAAATACACACATCAAAACAGTTCCTCTGAGATTCACAGTCTTACCTTGCCTGACTTCCATTCCTAGAAATGAGAGAGAAAAGCCCTTGATAACATCACTGTTAAAATCCTCTCACAATAACCTTTCTTTTTCTGTTTGCGTTTTGCTGAGATGATTTAGCTCTTCTAGCCATCAGTTGACTGATAGCTCCTTTGCACTTGCAGTTCGTGGATGAGAGGGCAGGACATATTGCTTAATCTTAGCAGAATTGATTTTGTTAAGTATTTTGTTAAAAGGTAGGTCCCAAACCCATTTCACAGAGCACTGATCACCTGCAGAAGACAGGTGAGCCCAGAAAGAAGCTGCCCAGCAAGCAGCCAGGCTGAGACGGGACAGCGGACTCTGTCAGCTGAGAAATCTGCACGTGCTTCTCTGCGTTTTGTCCCTGTTTGGGGACAATCCCTAGGAGGAAGCAAAGGGCAATTCCTTTGGTTTTGCCACCCACTCAGCCCTGTCCCCTCTCCTCCCTGGCTGTGAGAAGGTTGCCAGCAGGCTGTTGACCCAATTTACCAGCTAGCTTTAAGATGCGCAGCTCCCGGTAATTGCCAGGAATTTGGTGCTTCTGGAGGTCTGAGCCATTTGCCATTGCTCTGTGGCCTCCTGCTCCTTTGGAAGAGGATGCAAATCCAGACAAACTCTTCCTGTGGAAGGCACAGGTATAGTCCACCTTTGCACCCTGTGGGTGCACAGAAGCACCTGGCCCTCCCTGGGAGGGCAGCCCATGAGAACAAGCAGCCTCCTCTGCTGCCTGTGGTCCAGGCGTATGGCTGAGCCCGTGGGAGAGTGAGCGCAGGGCAAGGGATGCTGGCATGGCTCACAGCAGTGCCCTTTTGAGGCAGCTTTCTGTGGTTGTGCAAGAATCAGAAAGTGCCAAATCACTTGTGCAAGAAAAGCCAGTGTAGGTGGTGAGCTTTGCAACAGGCTGCTGGGGAGGAGCTTTAGTTTCAATTCCACAGCTCTTCTTTTAGCGGGGAAAAAAAAGAAAGACATTTTACATGATGGCAGTTTTACAGCATTAGCACTTGGGGCTCCTGTCAGCATATTTGCAGAGTTTGGTCACCAATCCCTCTCCCTCCCAGGGCCCCAGATGCTCTTCTTGCCCTAGATGTATTTTCAGTCCTCCTGGCCCTCCAGCTTGCACTCTGCCTCTTCCTCTTTGCCAACACTGATGCTGTGTACAGTGGCATGCAGGTAAGCGCAAACAAAAAAGTGAATTTTCTTTTCATGCCACGTATTTTGCTGGCCCTTTACCTAAGTGTACAGAGCAGAAGCTACAGCTATGGTCATCTTGGAAACGAATTTGCTGATCTGATGCTGACTGGGCAGCCCTTTCAAACTTCTCTAACATCCTTCTGACAAGGGCTTGATTAATGAGGTAGTCCTCCTCTCCTCTAAAGACTGGGTGGCAACAGGGAGAACAAAAAGTGCTTAGAGCTTGCTGAGCTTTCCTTCTTGACAGAAAAGCACAATAGGGTGGACTGTGGTTTTGCATGTTGGAGGAGGCTTGCTGGCCAGAGAAGCGAGTGGGCAGGGATTGCTGCTGCTCCCCCTGCCCCGAGCACCATGAGCTCACTTGGGGCCGCAGCTGCCTTGGCCCTTCCGGGCGCTCAGCCAGGGCACAGCGCAGGCAGCTGCCTCCAGCTGTGCTGCCCAACGTCGGGAATGGCCGAGCCCTGCGGCTCGTCCCCGGCCATCCTGCACGGGATGGATTCGGGTGGAGGCCTGGCGTTAGGGTGGGCATACACAGAGGGAGAGGAGCCGCACGTTGTGCACTAGCTGCAGCTCTCCAGAAGTATTTGGGCACTGGATCCTGCCCCAGGCACCTGATCTGCGGGTTTCAGCAGTAGCTTAAGTAGCCAAAATGAGTTAGGCAGCTCCGTGCCGTGGGGAATCTGGCACCAAACCTTCCAAGATCTCTGTGACAAGGAATTACTGTCGCTTCCTACTGCCTCCTCCATGCTTGCCACTGGGAAAATGTTAGTCAGCCTCTCAAATCATTAGGAACAGATGCAAATCTTGGCAAAGCATTTAAACCTAATTGCTGTTCATGTCTTTTCCAACAGTTTCTTTGCACTCCTGTGATCTGGAGAGTTTACATCTTACTGATGCTCTTGGTCACCTTTTCACCTTTTTTGTGTCTTTTTTTTACAGAGATGAGTGCATTTGTTTACCGCCTGTTCCCCAGGGTGAACAGAAGCAGTGTCTGGTCAGGTCTTTCTACCCCCATTTGCAGCAACGCTCTCTTCCTGCAGAAGCATAAACCCTCAGGCCTTTTTTTTTTTTTTCTTTAAGACTCAATGTGTGTCAGTCAAATCCATTTTATGCAGCCCCAGAAATTATTTAGACCACATCTCTTAAGCCTTTAAAGAGGGAGGGAGTTGAAGCTGCCTGGGAGGAGCCTGCTGCCCTGGCTCCCAGGGGATGGGAGCCAGCAGCATGGGTCAGGGTCTTGGCAGTGATTTTGAAACAACCACTTGCCTCTTGTCCTACAATCCACCAGGCCAGAGAGTGCACTGGCTTGTGCCACTGGATATTGCAGTAATGACTAAGCCCTAAAGTGTTTTGTGGGTCAAGGCTGGCTGTATCCAGCACTGGGTATTGTCCCCTGCAAGGAGTAGCAGTGCCTGGTTGTCCCACAGCCCCAGAAGGAAAATCTTGCCCCTTGATTATCCCCTTCAGCTAAACAGATTGAGATCAGCATTGTCCTGCTACAACTGAACAGAGCCTTCCTGTGAATGGGGAAGGTGGCATTTGGCAGCCGTGTTACTGAAGGGGACTGCACGCAGCTGCCCAGCGCCATGGGGCTCAGGGGGGTTGCACGTGTAGCAAGGGATGGCTTTTGTCCCAGAGTGGTCCTCCCTTCCATTGAAGGGCAACAGCACTGACCCCGCACCATGTCATTCTGCAGGACGTTATAGAATCATAGAATCATTAAGGTTGGAAAAGACCCTTAAGATCATTGAGTCCAACCGTTAACCTACCACTGCCAAGTCCACCACTAAACCATGTCCTCAAGCACCACGTCTACCCTTTTTTTAAATACCTCCAGGGATGGAGACTCAACCACTTCCCTGGGCAGCCTGTTCCAATGCCTGACCACCCTCTCGGTGAAGAATTTTTTCCTAATATCCAACCTAAACCTCAGTTGTAGAGAGCAATAAGGTCTCCCCTCAGCCTCCTCTTCTCCAGACTAAACAACCCCAGCTCCCTCAGCCGCTCCTCATAAGACTTGTGCTCTAGACCCTTCACCAACTTCGTTGCCCTTCTTTGGACACGCTCCAGCACCTCGATGTCCTTCTTGTAGTGAGGGGCCCAAAAGGTTATCTTGCAGAACAAGCACCTCTGGCTGCTGATTAAAGCCTGGTTTGGGTACAAGTCAAACAGCCAGTACCGAAAATGGCAGAGGATGCTGCAGAGGGATCCCAGCTGACCTCCCATGAACGCAAAAGACTACAGCAAAAAGCATGGATGAGATTTACATTAACCCCACCTATGAATACAGCGCTGAGGACTAGGCGAGACCCTGCAGCCAGGCATGGGGCTGTGCAGTGCTGGCAGCTTCCCCGGCTTGCACTGAACAGCCTGTGTTTTCATCCTTTGACGTGCACCAGATTCAGATGTTTGAGGTCCCTGTACAAACCCATCCATTCAGGGGCAGGCTGGGCCTGTGCTGGCTGTGCCCCGGAGCACAGGCAAGGATTATTCTCTGGGCTGCTGGTAAAATAACAGCCTTGACTCTACTCCATGGCAACAGCAGATCTTGGGCCTTGCCAACATCTCCTACAAAGGCTCAAAAATACTGAATACAGCAAAGTGATGGCTTCTGCTGCTCCATGTCACACTTTCACTCCATGTTTTAAGCCACTGCTCCACCAAATCCAGTCAATGCACCCATCAGGCTCGATGGAAAGGCAGTCCAACACAAGTGACCTAATCTTGACCGCACAGAGGAGCACGTGTACAATTGCAAAACCCTGAGAGAGGATGCTGCAGAGGGATCCCAGCTGACCTCCCATGAACGCAAAAGACTACAGCAAAAAGCATGGATGAGATTTACATTAACCCCACCTATGAATACAGCGCTGAGGACTAGGCGAGACCCTGCAGCCAGGCATGGGGCTGTGCAGTGCTGGCAGCTTCCCCGGCTTGCACTGAACAGCCTGTGTTTTCATCCTTTGACGTGCACCAGATTCAGATGTTTGAGGTCCCTGTACAAACCCATCCATTCAGGGGCAGGCTGGGCCTGTGCTGGCTGTGCCCCGGAGCACAGGCAAGGATTATTCTCTGGGCTGCTGGTAAAATAACAGCCTTGACTCTACTCCATGGCAACAGCAGATCTTGGGCCTTGCCAACATCTCCTACAAAGGCTCAAAAATACTGAATACAGCAAAGTGATGGCTTCTGCTGCTCCATGTCACACTTTCACTCCATGTTTCAGCCACTGCTCCACCAAATCCAGTCAATGCACCCATCAGGCTCGATGGAAAGGCAGTCCAACACAAGTGACCTAATCTTGACCGCACAGAGGAGCACGTGTACAATTGCAAAACCCTGAGTTAAATGAAATGCTGTGGCTTCCAAGAACGTTCCCCAGATGAAGTAATTCCAGTTTTCTTGCATCCCAGAGTGAATTACAGATGTGAGAGGGTGCATACACTGCCCTCACCCAGCTCTCCCTTGTGAGCTCTTGCAGACATAATCCTCTGAGTACAGGAAAGGTTAAAGCTCGCAGATTGCTGTAAGACCAGCCTGGGAAGGCTGGAGAGGATGTGCCCCACTTAAGCTTGCAAAGGCAGAGGACAGCAGAGCTGCTGGGCACACATAATGCCCCAGTTCATGCTCAGCTGCTGCCACGTCCCGGCCCAGGTTTGGTGTCACGTGGCAGAAAGCAGGGCTAAGCCTTGGCTTCTTGCTGTAACTAGGTCATGCCACGGAGCAGGGGTTTTAACGTGCTCTGGCACACGGCTGCTGGACAGGCACAAGAAGCTCAGCCCCTCTCTACTTGCTCTTTTATCTTCAGTTGTTCAACAACCTCATTAGTTTAGCCATGAAAGAACTTTTGATTACATTTGCAGGAAGCAAAAAAAGACTTTCAGGTTCACTTTTATTTTAATATGGGAAAACATATTATAAAAGAACTTTATTTAAATGTAATAACAGAGGGCACTACAAAATATGACCAGAAGTCTTGGCTTTGTTATTTCAAACATTGAAACAACTGATGTTTAAAAAAAGCTTCTGATCCTGTTATGTAGATGTTAAGAGCAGCCAAAAATAGCAGGCCTCTTACAGACAGCTCTTTTGCTCTCATCTCTTCTTACAGTCCAGGCAGTTGCATGTGGTGAAAGCAACACAGGATTTAATTTCTTACATGAGGTCTGCAAATAACATGGTTCCAAACACACAAGCCAGATACTCCTGGTAAAGAGTAACAAATGACACTTTTCCAAAACAGTTTTCTTCTAAGACAAGCCACACATCAGCTTTGTGACAAGGAAATAGTGGGGCTCTATAGATCTGGAGATGGGGCATAGGTGCGGCCACAGCTCATTCTCCAGGTATGCCCCCCACAGCACTGCAGGGACCCTGGCTTTGCCTTCCTGCTGGCTGGAGGAAGATCGATCTTGTGCTGGGGCTACAAACTGTTTAAACTCAACTTCTGGTCACTGAGGAGCCAATGGCCCCAGCTCCACGGGGCTGCCCTTGCAATCCATGGTGATCTTTCTTTAAACCTCAGTGCTTTGGCAGCCCAAGGAGTAGAATCATAGAACGGTTAGAAGTGACCTTAAAGATCATCTGGTAAGCTTGGTCAGGTCCAATGCCAACAATTACTGCACTTACAGGGATGAAGAGGGAAATTTCAGTGGCACAGTAGTCCCAACCTAGAACAAACAGCTGCCAGAGAAAAAGCTAGCTGGGGTTTTTGTCAGACCCCCCCCAGACTGAGAGTCTGCTGCCCCCAAAGTCAGAGTCAGAAAAGCCAGGTAAAGGGATGTTTTCCAGGCAGACGGAAACCGAGAAAAACACCACCATGCCAAAACCAGAGCACTCATTTAAAACAGAGGGATACAGCCTGTATGACCTGCCCTTCCTTCCTCCCTCCCACCCTCGCAGGAACAGCTCAGTTTAGGCACCGCAGGCACGGGCTCTGAGACAGAGTACATGCCTTGTCTGCCCTTTCGCAGGCCTGGGAACGTGGGGTTTTCCACTTGCACAAGCCCTCAGCTGGAGGACACACAATAAACCCTCAGCGATACTTTTACATTACTTTTGATTAAAAAAGTAAAAATGTTAGGGTTGAAATAGGTTATTCACAGAAAGGGCCCACAGGATGTAGCTGATAAAACCAGGATGTGTGTAGAAAGCCCGTGCCAGCCCTCAGCAGAGCACCGGGGGTGTGAGGATGGAGAATTTGCTTGCAAGCGCTCCCAGACTACCACAAAAATCATCACAGGCAATGAAATAAAAGCAGATGTGGCAAACAGGCTAGCTCTGCTCTCAGCAAGAGCAACACAGTTGTTAGTAAGTCTCGGTGGCAGCTGTGGCCACAAACTGTCCTGGGTCCCTCCCGGCCAGGGGCTCCCTGCCCTGCTCCGAGCTCATCCCGGCGGCCCGTCAGTACTGTCTCTCTCTGGATCTGCTCCGGAGCAAGCCCAGCAAGGAGAAGGCACCGGCGGCAACCGTTACAAACCCAATGGCACCAATTGCTCGGTTGGCCTGCAAAGGTGAAGTAAAACACAGGCTGGAAATGTGATGAGCTTTTTTTTTTTACCCCCAGGCACACTAATGAAGAGCAAGCAGAGATAATCAAAGCCATTAAATGAATGAGGGACACCTGCCCCATAAGCAGAAGGGGTAACACCCAGGCTTTTATCCTTAGGTTGTGGCATTCAGTAAGATGGCACTATCAGGGTGCAGACAGACCACGCTGAACCTCCTGGGCCAGGGTCTCCAGTGAGGGCAGAGGCAGTGACAGTTTGGACCTCGTGCCTGGGGTTTGCTGTCCCCATGCAGTTTGCAAGCTGTGCCCTGGTCCAGGGGCTCACACAGAGCAGCAAGGAGGTGCACTGCGAGGCACGCAGGGGCTTACCCCGTGTTACTTACCTGGTCAGAGACCCCCTCGCCGTAGCGGAGCAGCGTCACGAAGTGCTCGCAGTTGTTGCCGAGCAGATCGTAGGATACCTCCTGGTCAATGAGGTACTCAGCACGCCGGATGATCTCCTCCACCGGGAGGGGAGTGTAGGTGCCGTCGTACTTGTTGTTGATCTGGTAGGTGTCACTTCCCACCACGTCCTTCAGGAGCTGCATCCTCACCCGGGCCTTTCTGCTGAACACTGACTTGGCGCTGCCGAACGTGGCTGGGGGCCCTTCATCTGGGGAAGGCAGGGATGGGATCAGCCAGGCAGGCTCTGTCTGGCCCCTCCAAGACCTCAGAGGGGTTTCTGGCTGGCTCCTGGAAATGCCATCTACACACACGGGGTCCACCACTGGCCCGTGGAGGGAGACTGGGCTCCCAGGTCACCCCAAGGCCCCCTCTGCACCCTGCCAGGCTCCGCCAGCCTTACCTACGGGTGTCACGTTGATGATGTACCCGTCCCCCAGGTAGAGGGCCCAGTGCTGGTAAGCTGGCCGGAAGATCTCGATCAGGTCCCCAGGCTGGGGGTCTCCGGGGTGGGCGGCGCTGAAGCTTTCGATAGCTGCCATCTCAAGAGCGTGCGGTCAGGACATGCCCCTCTTGCTGGGCAGGCTCAGTGCAAGGCACGGTGGAGAGGGGAGGTCTGGGATGAGCACAGGGCATCTGCTGGGGGACCGCAGGCAGGGAGATCATTAGGGCCTGGCACTGGTGCGCTTGTACTGCCTGCGGAGCATCGTCGAGTTGGCACCCAACCGCTGCTGCGGAGGTGCCCCTCTCTGCAGGGCCCTGGCTAGGGGCAGCCGGTCCCGCCCGCC